GCCCCCCCCCCCGCCCCCCCGCTGGTCTGCCTCCACAGCCCTGCTGAGCGCGTGCTTGGGTGTCGCCTGCACATACGCTTCCTCAGCTGTGAATGTAGACTTGCTCCTTGTTATCTTCTCTAAGTGTTCTTATTTTGTTCTGCTGGGGTCTTTGTTTTGAATTCCTATTTCCTTCCGTTTTTAGGTCCCAGTATTGAAGCCCATGGACCGTATGGCAGAAGCCAGTCCATGCCAAATTTTTACAAATGCTCACAGGTATTATACAAATTCCATTTCAGTCGTGATCATGAAACATCTTTCTGCAGATGACCTGAGAATTAATCTGTGGCACTTAGAAGCACACACAGAAGCTTCAGTGCCCTTCGGCCGCGTGTGTCCAGGCCCTCCCTGGGGCCAGTCTTGGGGAGGCGCCCCCAGCTCGCTCTCCCCATAGCCCAGAGTCTCCCCTCTGGGTGAGGCTCGCCGCGTGGTAGCTGGCCTAACGCGCCCGTTCTTTGTGATTCAGAGTGTTTTTCCCTAAAAACAGAAACTTGTACCTTTGGGAGTAGTTCTCTGGTAGTGGCAACAGCCTCAACTCCTGCCTCCCCAGTTGAGTCACAGGCATTTTTAAACCCAACCCAAGAAGCGACTGACTGTGTGAGAACTCAGCTTCAGAAGACAGGCTGTTTAGTCTCTTAGTTGGCCTGACGGTGCTGCTATTCGGAAGATGGAGGTGTGACTAGCGCTGGCTCACTGGGCATTTGGGAGTCACTGGTCCCTCCAGGAAACGAGGGAGCCCCACGACAGCCTGCCTCCCGGGCGGCGCCCTCCAGGCCTGCGCTGAGGCTGACGCGGAGCTTTACTCACGTGACTCTCGGGGGTTCCGGTGCTAGCGTTTCACACATAGCCTCTGTTACTGGTTGTCCTTCCACTGGTTCGGTGACTTACCTGACTTGTTCACTCGCTGTACCGAGAGGTGTGGAGGCCCTGTCCCACGGGCACCCGGAAGCGGCCGGGGCGTCCCACCCGGGGCCAGATGCTGGAGGTCACTACGCTCCCCACCCTGTACCCCTTCTCTCTTCAACTTTGCAGAAACCACGGCCCCTGCTTTCTCTTTATTTTCCTTAAACCCTCATATTTTTAATAATTCTTCTGCTAATATATGACAATTTTAAACAAAAATAATACAGAGGAAGGTTCTCTCCGCAGTCCCACCCTCCGGGGACAGCCAATGAGTGGTTGGATGCATCTTCCTCCAGGCTGTCTTTGTCTTTACAGACAGTGTAAGTTTTTGCAGCCACTAGGATTGTCCTCTACGGGGGACGCAGTATCCCTGCGGTAGGAGGGTCAGGAGGCCCAGGTTCAGCTCAGCGGCCGTACCATCGGGTCGCTGGGCATCTCCCAGCCTTTCTCTTCCTCTGTGAAGTTGCAGAACTAAAACGTGCCTCCTGGGTTACCATGAAAGCCGAGGCTGCGGAGGTCTTGGCAGCTACCTGGAGCGTCGCCTGAGCCCCCGCCACCAGCCTCATTCTTTCTTAAAACATTCTGTGCATCTTCCTATCAGCAGGAATGCAGATTCATCACTTGCAGGCTTCGTTTTCTTTCCACCGTTGGAGCTGAGGTCACTTCCAGCCCAGGACGTGGACATGGTGCTGCAGCCGTGACTGTGTTCTCGCACCTTCGTGTGCTTGGTTAGCTGGGCGCAGCTGGGCGGGGTCTCCCTACAGTCTCTAAGAACTTGTTTTCAGCAGGACATTGGCTCTTTTAGAAAACAGCTTTCCAGTTCTGTGAAACCAGGACAGTTCTTAATTTCTTTGCTTCTTGCTGAATTAGGGTATCTCCTATTAATTCGGTGTTCATTTTTGTGAAATCTTTTACCATCCGTTGTCATTTCTTCGTGTCGGAAGCTCACGTTTCTCTCAAGGTCTGTGAGGCTTGTTCGTGCGGCCACGCCTCCCCTGTTCTCCTTCCTGAGAGTTCTGCCCCGCCGCCGCGCTGCTGATGTCCTTCCTCGCGGCGGGGACCTTAAAGCCCAGAAGCCGTCGCGTGCTCCCTTGCGTCTGTTAGCACTCTTTGAGGTGTCTTGGACCCACTCCCCTGGGCGAGGTGGGGGTCCCACCACCTGCACCCTGACAGCCACCCCGTGTGTCTGGGATGTTCTGACTCCTCAGAACAAGCTCTTGTGTCCGATACTTACAAGAGCAGAATCTTGCAGTCTGGCGGTCTCCGTGCACGTCGCTGTGTTGGTGTGGGGCCGCTGTGCGGCTGGGCACCTGCTTGTTTTCTTACTTCCATCTTTTAAAACGTGTTACCTTGCGTTTTTCATTGAACACCAGTCTTTTCATTAAAGTCTTCATTACATGCCAGCAGCAGCAGGATCGGCACTCGTGTCTATGGATGCAGCCCCGCCAGGCAGGCCAGGCACGTCGCTAAGTCTGGTCACCGCACTGACGTAGACCCTTTTCGTGGCCGCGCCTCCTTCCCACCTGATCTGGTAAACCCACTGTGTGCGCTGCCCCCTGCCTGCGATCCTGAGCCTTAGCCCAGCGCCCTAGACATCACACCGGGGCATCACACCGGCTGACATGGAGGAGCTGGCGGAGGTGGTCACGGTGGCCGTGTTCCACCTGCGCCGCTGCTGCGTGCTGGGCTACAGCAGCAGCAGCAGAGGGGGACCGGCAGGCTGTGCAACCGCTGTTCCGAGTGTAAGTGCCCGGCAGGCTTAAACGCCTCCTTTAGGTCGTGTGGTCTCCAGTGCTAGACAGTGGTTCCCTGTGCTCTGCCTGGGCCCACCAGCACAGGCCCGGCCCTGTCTCCTGAGGCCCAGCGAGGCTCTGCCTGGTGCTGAACAGAGCGGGGCGCGAGGCCGAGCTGTCATGGTGGCACCTTTGCACCCTGCCACGCTGCATTGGGGCCTCTGCCAGGGCCGCAGGACGCCCTTGGCCGTGACGTCTCGGTGGTGGAATGGGCTCCGCGCACAGAGGGCTTGCAGGATGGAAGCCCCTTCCCTCAGGTGAAAGGCCAGCACTTTGACCTGCTGGGCCGAAAAGTCCCTCCCAGGCGAGGAACGGACTGGTTTGGTTCCTATTTTTAGCCGTAGCGAACAGGCCCTGGTTTCTACTGGTTTTGTAGAAAATCAGTGGTCCGTGTGTCACGGACACGCATGTGCCGTGTGTGCTAGAAGCTTGGCCCCCGCATCCCAACACTGAGGTGGCACCGTCCTGGTGAGAGCGCCGGACTTCGTGTCCCCACAGGAGGCCTGTCCGGTGCCTCCCAGCGCAGCGCGGGCGGCCCCAGCGCTGCCACCGCGAGGCGTGCTTGACGGCTGGCTCTCGGTGACCTCTCTGCCGTATTCTGTCTCTCTGAGGCTGAAGTGCGTTTTAAAGAAGTCTGTACTTCTGGTAGAATTCCCGCAAAGAAAAATGAGTCTTTTACAATGTTTGGCCTGTGTTTTCAAGGCAGCACTCTGGCGTAACCAGGTTTAGATTGCAGCGGTTGTTTTGTCAGCACATTTATTTGAGTAAATGCTCGGTATTGCCACCAGCTCGCTTTAATTAACTTCAGATGCAGAGCCAGCAAACATAGGTTCCAACATTAAGAAAAAAATCAAAAGCAGCCGAAAATGAAAGGAGGTCCAGACCTCCTGGCCCAGAACTGACCGAGCCAAGAGCGCGGCAGAGCTGGGGCACTGGTGTCAGTACGCGGTGGGGGCCTCAGCGCAGGCGGCGGGCTGTCGAGTTACTGCTGCAAAGGCAAGGTTTGCCAAGGGAGCGTTTGGAATCTTCCCGGAAGCGGTAACTCGATTTTGTTAGCGTCCATCGTGACTGCTGAATAGCGAAGAAAACCCCTTCCCTGGCGGCTATGACAGACGAGCTGTCCTGGTGGTTCAAACCTGGACTGCGGCGTTCCCGGCTGCGGGTCCCTGAGCAGCTCCCGGCCTCGCTGGCCCCGAGCGCAGCTGCATCCTCACACGATGCCCTTCACGTCTTTCTGGGGCGGGACCTGGCACCAGTTTGGCAGCAACAGCATCAGGTCAGTGGCCTCGCCAGATGTGGTCTGACGGTCGCAGGGAGCAGTCTGGTTCTGTCCAGGGCCTCGTCCGTGGAGATGTTGGTTCCGAGCCGGGGCGAGCCGGGGGCCTGAGCTTCAGAACAAGTGGGGGCGGGAGCAGTGTCGGGGCCAAGCCCTCTGGTGTCTCGGGTTGGGGGGCCTGAGTCCTACCTGGACTTGAAAAGGATTTGTTCTCAGGTGTTTAAACAGAAGCTGAGAACGCTGTGTTTTCCAGTTTTTGAAGAGCCGGAAGACCCCAGCAGCAGGTCCTTCTCCTCAGAAAATATCTCCTCCGTCTCCGACGTGAAGTTCAGCCACAGTGGTCGGTACGTGCTGACCCAGGACTACCCGTCGGTGAAGGTGTGGGACCTCAACATGGAGAGCCGGCCCGTGGAGACCCACCAGGGGAGGCCACGACGGGGCTGGCCCGCGCTGTGCCCACGACCACCCCGACCCTCCTGTGCTCCCCGTCAGGGTGCACCGGCACCTCCTACGCAGCGGCCGGCTGTGCTGCCTGCACGAGAACCACTGCGTCTTCGACAAGTTCGGGGGCTGCGGAGCGGCTGCGACGGGGGAGGCCGCCGGGGCTGCGGGGGGCTGCGGGCTGACGGTGGGCACGTCCCGCGTCCGTCTGCCATGACGGCTTTGAGGGGACAGTGGGATGTGTGGCCACCCTGTGCAAACGGCAGGCGCGGTGCGTGGTTTGCAGGGGCCGCATTCAAATGCTCAGTGGGATGATACGCTTTCCTTCTTCACTGTTTCCAACGTGAGTGACGTGGGAGTGAGCGGGGAGCACCACGTACTGTGAGTGTGGACGGGCCACGTTCCCGCTTGCCTTTGCTGCCGGGGAGCAGCGGAGGGAGACGCCCTCGGCTGGCTGTCGCGCTTGGACAGAAGCGGAGGCGGCCGGCGGGAGCGTGGCCCCGACGCCGGGTATTCCCCGTGCACGTTCTTAGAGGTGCCGCTGAGACCGTGGTGCTTAGGGCTCTGTCTTCGGTGCCCCACGGAGAGCTCGTCCCCCGTGGTGGGGGCTCTCGCGTCGTCGGTCGGGTCTGCACAGCGTCGAGCCTGCCCGTCGTGTGGGCCACAGAGGCCTGGCCCCTGGCCGCGGGGTGGGGACGGACGTCCTGGCTCAGACACCAAGAACGTCGGATGTGGCACGTGCACCTCCTCACGCGCACAGCTGAGCTCACGGGAGCTAGGAGGGGCCCTCGGGGCTGTGGGAGAGGCATCCGTCCAACGTCCACACGGAGCCCGAGGGAAGCTTGTCTTCTGAGACTTGGGTTGGGCGGATAAAAGTCGTCTGGGATAAGACACCAGAGCCTGCCTCCCTCGCCTAGAAGTCTGACTTAGGGCAGGTGCGCCAGGCAGGCAGCTCTGGGCAACGCACGGAGGAACCCTTTCAGGTCCAGGCCTCTCCCGTTCTCAAGCTGGCGTGCCACCTAAGTGTCCCCTGGATGCTGGCTGAGGACACGGAGCCCCTGTCGTAGACGGGACTGCACTCCTCGCGGCACAGCACAGCAGCACGTGCGCCACAGACACCCCATGGGCGGGCACGGGGGCCGGGCAGGGGCCACTCGAGGGGGTTGGTGCCAGGGCCACGCAGGCTGGGCCGGCAGCAGCCACAGCCGAGACACGATGTGGCCCGGGTGCAGCCAGAAGCTTTCTGGTGACGTTCACTTGTTGATTCACTCTTGCCGACGTCCCCTGCCCCCCTGCCCGGGACGGCACTGCCGAACAGTTCCACTTTGTCCTGCTCTGGGTTGTATAAGCAGACGTGGACACGGCCACTTCCTTGCAAGTCCACTTCCCCTATGTTTGGCAGTGTTCCCACCTGGGTAGCAGGGGACACCTGGCCAGGTGCTCAGGAAGCTTCTCACACTGAGTGGAGGAGCGGCCAGTGGGGACACCCCCTCCCTGGCACGTGTTGTCCGTCAGGAACTCTGAACTTGTAAAGTTGGTCGCTTTTATTTCTGTTGTGTATAGCCCTTGTGGTCAATGTTGATAGTAAAATACTCCATCCTGGGAAGAAAAACCTTTTATCAGTCTCTGTTCTGAGTAACTGTTGTACTTGGGTTTTGAAAACACAGAGGTGAGCTGCGGGTCAGCACGTTTCTTCCTTGTCCTTCGATGGGCCTTGTGTTCCACACGGAAGCTGGCTGGGACGCGCGCTGGTGGCAGGCAGCCGTCCAGACCCGGCAGCGGGCCTCATGGGGTCCCCCGCGCAGTTCCCATCCACACCCCTGAGGTGCGGGTGCTCCAGGTTGAGACCGTGACGCCCGGAGCACCGCGAGTCATTTTTCTTTTCTGAGTTATCTTTTTTCCTGCCATGAAGTTGTAGATGAGATTGGTCAGACCCTGAAGGATCTGCACACAGCCGGGATCAGCCCTGCACCGTGCACGGAGCCCCAGGCCTCTCGGGGTGCCTGCCCGAAGGTCAGCTTTGACGAGGCCCGACGGCCGGGTGCCCCTGGGCCGGGGCGGGCGGCCGTGCAGGAGGGGCGCCGACTTCCCTGCCTGGTGGCCGCCAAGACAAAACCAGGCTGGCTGCGAAGCCGCGGCTCAGACCCAGCAGCGCTTGCCGTCGGGTGGCTGTGCTCTGCGTCCTGTCCTGGGGCGTCGCGTGGGGCTGCGGCCAGACTCCACCGCGGAACGGCCCCGTTTCTCCACACTCGTCCCAGGGTTTAAGGCCTTCCCTAACTTTGTATACACCTGTTACTTCATGTGAAGAAACTTTTATAAATTAAAATAAATTTTAAAAGCTGTGGTCAACTCAGAGTGAAGGTGGCGGCAGGTCTCACTGGTGTCTGTTGAACACAGTGCGTGGCGCCCGACTTGGGGTCCCGGACGGAGGGCAGGAGGTAAATAGACCGCTGGCCTCGACCAGACAGGTGACCGCGTCCAGGCTTTTACCTTCTTTGAAAACACACTAATGGTAATGAAAAGTATAGATCCGTTACTCTTCTGCTTTTTTATTCTGTGGTGTTTATTTTTATGGACATGATTATATACGAAATTCACTAGGAAATTCTCACTGCCTGTCTCTCCTGACCGTTGTGGTTTTTCATTTATTTCTAAACCAACGGGCGGTGTGGTGTGCAGAGCTGGAGTGGGCAGGCCGCGGGCCTGGCGGCTGAGGCGTGCCTGCTTGTCCCGCGCAGCGCCGTCGTGACCGGCTCCTGCAACAGCTGCTTCAGGATGTCCGAGAGGAACACGCAGAGGGGCGTTCCGCTGGAAGCCTCCAGAGAGAACAGCAAGCCTCGGGCCAGCTTGAAACCTCTCAGTGTGTCCCCGCGGAAAGCGGAAGAAGGACGAGGTCAGTGTGCACAGCCTGGACTTCATGAGGAAGGTCCTGCACACAGCCTGGCACCCGGCGGAGAATGTCGCTGTGGCCGCCACCAGTAACCTGTACGTATTCCAGGACAAGGCCAGCTGAGGGCGGAGAGGCCGCGGGCTGTGCGCTCTGCCTCGGCAGGGCCAGCCCGGGTGTCGCTGCTCCGGCCAGGAGCCCTGCGGGCTGGTGGACAAAACTGATGGGGCTTTGTTGGGAAGGGCTGTACCTCAAAACTGATGTTACTTATGTATTTAAGTCCGACCTTTCCCTCCAGTTCATAGACCAGAACTTAACATCCGAGGGAAAGGTTGTCAACTGCGGTCTCTCCTCAGCTCTCTCCCCTCTGACTCGTGGTCCAGGCGGGCCCACCCCACACGCTGTGTCTGCCGTCACACTGTCTGCTGCAGCCACTTCATACAACAACACACTATAAAAAGTTTTAAAATTCCAAAATAAGTATTGTCTCTTTATTTGATTTAATTGCATATAATGAAATCATGCAGTCACACTTCAGAGATCTCCCGTCCTTCACTAACAAGAGCAGTGGGACGTGCAGTACTTCAAGCTCTGAACGTCCGCTTCCCCAAACGTCTGCCCCTCTGTTCTGTTTCCATAGAGATGGTCCCTCTGACACACCAGGTCAGGTCTCGGACAAGCCTTAACTGCACCACCTCTGAGAAAGGAAACTGCAGGGGTTAGGACCAGAATCGCTGCTGGGAAATAATGTGGTTTATGGTTTGCCTCAAATTCACTGCGATTGAAAACACGTGCTTTTTAAACCTTTTTTAAAAGTCCTTGGGGTGGGAGGATAATACACTTTTTTAAAACTACTAACATTATATGCATATTGAATTTCATATTGTATTTCAAGCCAGCAAAATTAAGTTTTTATGTGATGCCACCAGTACCTTGGTGGCGTAATTTGAAAGTGGGATCTTTGATGTCAGAAGTCAGGAGTTCCCAGGACAGAAAAAGACAGAGGTGGCGACACTAGGTAGCTGACCGGAGCTTGCCGTCGTGGGCCCCTCCGGGGACGGGCCGCGCAGGCTCGCGGGCTGCTCTTGACGTGAAGGCACGCTTTGGTCACTCGTGACACACACGTGCGACAGCACGTCTCGTCGTCTGCCCTGACTGACATTGGCAGGATGCCACTTCAGTTCACGCTGAGTTGGAAATTGAGAATCAAGAAGTACATTTATTTTAATTTCAATGTAATTCTTCTACTGTGTCGTCTGCGACACGAGTGACACCTGAGCCGCAGAGCAGTTGCTTCAGCATCAGCCCGGGTCCTAGTGAAATGGGTCTGCATATACTGGTTCAGCCGTTTTGACCAAAAAGTTTAGTAATTTCAGATGTTTTGCTGGGTGTGTGCTGTGTGTCTTGGACAGCTTTCTTCATCGTTGCTTCAGGGCGTGCTTCCTACGGAGCAGAAGAGCAGCCTCCCGGAGGGCCGGGGTCTCCCAGTGGGCCCCCCCCCCCACAGTGCTGGGCTGACCTCCTCAGAGCTGCTTTGGAGAATCAGTGCTTTGAAAAGCATCCCGGGATCTGCCCCGTCCTTTCCCAGGAGGCACTAAGGACTCCGTTCAAGCCTTTTCCTCCCCTGACGAGGTGCACGTCCTGTGGTTCTCAGACTTAATGTTTATCTTCTTTATGAAAAAAATCTCGTTGTTCTTGTCCCTTTAAAACTTTACCCTTTTCCTCCCATTTTAAAGTTAGAGGACTGTCATCTGTTCCTGAAGGATCATTCTGTGAATTTTTATTGCTCAGAATCCTGTGCTCCTGTTTGACTGGAAGCTGCTGTGCTCTCTGGGCCGATGACCTGGGTCACGTGAATAAGCTTCATTCGTGTGTGGATTTGGATGTGCACTTTTTAAAAGAAAAATTGAAGTTTCATAAGCCATTACCAGACAGAGCTCAAAGTCTTATTTTAAACTGGCCACAGGTCCCGGGCATTTAACAGCAGGGTCCTGCCTGCCTTCTCAGGAGAGCTACGGAGCCAGGAGCCGTCCCCAGGGCTGTCCCCGGGTCAGCCTAGCGTGTTCCAAGTCCCAGCCAGGCGGAGCAGAGGGCGGGCTCTGTGCTGCTACGGGGCTGTCTTAGGAGGAACTGTCTGCAAGTTCTGCTTGCAGGGTTGAGGAGGACGTCAGAGTCAGCACTTGGACTTCTCTGAACCAAACCCTGGCCCCCAGGCCGGCAGCCTGGGCATCGCAGGGAGGGACAGCAGGGCCTGCTGGGTGTGAGGTGGGGCTCTGCCCTGGGTTGGACGGGGGTGTTGAGCTGAGCAGGGACGGCTGCTCCCGTCACAGACTGCCCCTCCCACCAGGTGCTGTGCCTGGAGGGCCCAGGAGGCGGGTGGGAGCTTTCACAAGAGGGGGTGTGAGAGGCAGGACTGATAAGGATGCAGCCCAGAGGATGGGGCTGCCTGCCCTCCCTCCCTGCAAAGGCCTGGCCCCCTGAACCGTACTTCCCAGGGTCCCTCCTGCTGGGGACTGGCTCCAGGGGAGCTGCTGGAGGGGGCTGAGCACCTCACCCCAAGGGCTTGTCCGTGTAGGGGGAGGGGAGACCAGCTTGGAGACCCCTGCCTGCCCACCCACCCACCAAGGGCTCTCACAGGGACCGATGGGGTCAGACTGGTGTGGATGACAGCCGGTGACAGCCCTCTCCTGCGGGGCGTTTGCCGCACAGGCACTGGCCAGGGGTCCCCCAGACCAGCCGGGATGCTCACAGGGAGGCGCCCTGCCACTCACCCGCCCCTCACCCCTTGGTGGAGACCCGGTGACACACAGGACGTGGAGGCTGCTTGGAGCTCAACCTTGACCTCAGAAACCGCGGCACAGTGGGTGTTGCAGGAAAGGAGGGGCTGGAGACCTGGTGGGGTTCAGTTGTTCCTCCCTTCGCGCTGCGACCTGGGGCCCGGTCACGCGCCCTTCCTGAGCACGGGGCAGGGCCAGAGTCACATGGGCGGACTCCGCCTCTGCGGCCCTGGCCTTGGGTTCCACCCTGCCCTCCCCGCGCCCCCAGGCCCTTCTGTCCTAAGAGCGGTCTTCACCCCCAGCCCCGCTGTCTGAAGACACTGGACTAGGGAAACTGATTCCTCCGAGTCCAGTCTGTCCGGTGAGTGAGCGAGTCGAGGTGACTTGTTCGGCTCTCGTCTTCCACTGGGCGGTCGGAGGTGGGGTCTGATAGGTTATGATTTTCAGTTTTTAGATCTCACCATCTGAGGCTGAACCCTGAACACCCTCCAGACGTCTCTGACCTCACAGGCTCTGCTCCCCGACCAGACCCTGGGGTGGGGACTGTGTCTGCAGGGTCCCAGGCCCCACCTGGCCTGCACATCCAGAGCTGGGTGCAGGCCTTGGGACGGCAGGCCCTCATCAGACTGCACCGTGTTTCTTTGGGGTGTATTCTGTGTCCTGAGACAGTTTCCTTGTTTGCCCCAGAGCTGATTTTCAGTAGTAAATTATCATTGTAAATCTTGGGGTATCTTTAGATTTTTACTTAAGTGTAGTTAATTTACAATGTTAGCTTCAGGCAGGTGTACAGCAGAGTGACTCAGTTATACATACACGTGGGGTTTTTTTCAGATTCTTTTCCATTATGTTATTACAAGAAATTGAACACAGTTCCCTTTGCTGCATAGTAGGTCCTTGTTTATCTATTTTATATATAGTAACTTAGTGTGTCTAACTTGGAGTGTCTGTTAATCCCCAACCCCTAATTTATCCGTCCCCACCCTTTCCACTTCAGTAACCGTAGTTGTAGTTTGTTTTCCATGTCCGAGTCTGTTTTTGGTTTGTAAATACTTTGCGTCATTTTTTTTTAGATTCTGCATATAAATGATACCATGTATTTGTCTCTCTGACTTCACTCAATATGACAATCTCCAGGTCCATCTATGTTGCTGCAAATGGCGATACTTTATTCTCTTTATGACTTAGTACTCCTCCATTGTATGAACACACCACATCCTCTTTGTCCAGTCCTCTGTTGATGGCCCTTTGGACTGCTTCCATGCCTTGGCCGCTGTGCATAGTGCTGCTGTGAGCCTTCCTCCAGATGCACGTCCAGGAGTGAGATGCTGGATCAGAGGAACCTCCATACTGTCCTCCATAGAGGCTAGAGGGGTATCTTTTAAAGATGTATGTTCCATAACGGATGGGAAACATTAATTTTTCCAAGTAGCAGCTCTCAGGGGAAAATCTGTTTTCCCACGTCTAAGTATCTGAATGTAGTGTAGCTCTGCAGCTCTTACTACAAAGTTCTGAAACGTGCAGTATGGCCAACATCACTGTGAGTGTAGGGTGGGCAGCGTGACTCGGCGTCTGTCCCGAGGCGATCACAGCAAGTCTAGTTAGCATCCACCACCACACACGACGAGTTGCTTCCTCTTGTGATGAGAACTTTTAAGATCTCTCTTAGCAGCTTTGGAACACGCAGTGCAGCATCACCCCCTCTCGCCACCACACCGTGCGCTCCATCCCGGGACTCGCGCGTTCCATGACCGAGTCTGTGCCTTTTCACCCCCTCACCTGCCCTAGACGACTGCCAGTCTGTTCTCTGTGAGCTTGGTTGGGTCTGTGTCTTCAGATCCCACGTATAAGTGACGTCATACTGTGTTTGTCTCTGACTGACTTCGCAGCGTAACACCCGCAAGGCCCCCCCACTTATCTGAAACGGCAAGACCGGTGTTCCTCACGGCTGAGTAACGCCGTGCTGCACGCACACGTCTTGGTCCGCTCGCTCACCCGTGGACCTTAGGCTGCTTCCATAGCCTGGCTACTGTAAACAGTGCTGCTGTGAACACTGGGGTGCATGTACGTTTTCAAATTTGTGTTTTCGTTCTTTGGATAAATACTCAGAATTCAGAATAATTGGTTTTCCAGGAGAGAAGGGGGCAGATTGACAGAAGAAACAGCTGAGAATTTCCCAAACGTGAGGAAGGACCTGTACGTCACTGTCCGTGACCCTGACAGAACACTGTCACCTCAGTGCAGAATGGCCTCCAAGACACGTTCTAATGAAGGCCAGAGACTCAGGCCATGGCCTCTGTCTCGGCCGCAGTCGCCGAGCAGTGGGGGACTCGCTGGCTCTCCGAGGGGGTCTCACTGAGGACACCTGACCTTGCTGGGAGGTGCCAGGTGCAGTGGGGCCCGTGACAGCAGGCGGCACGCACACCTGCTGTGACGCAGACGGACCCTGGCGGCCTGCGTCGGGGGCTCCAGCTTCCTTCTCGTGGGTTAAGTTACATCAAGGATCTGGATGCCTTAAGTCAGCTGCCTCCAAACACAAGTGCCTATACTTCCAAAGGAATTGTTTAAATAGAAACCAAGATTTTAAAAATTAGAACGTTACGTTTATTTTAACACAACTGAATTCAGTGTGGAAAAGTGACACACACACACAGTAGCATTTATACAGCATATCAAAGGGGCAGCCTTTACAAACCATGCAATGGGGATGCGCCTGGTGTAACCAAAAAGCTTATATGACGTTTGGTTTTAAAACACATGTAAGTACAGTAACCAAGTATTTGGCAAATATTTATTTTTTTCCATTTCCAGCCTTTCAAAGTAGACACAGAGCAGCTTAGAACGAAGCCGATTCCATGAGCACACAAAAACCGACCACAAACCTGAAGACTGAACTCAGCAATCCAGAGGCGAGGGGAAGGGGCGCTGGCCGTCCGGGCAGTTAGGCAACATTCTCAGCTGAGGGCCCCGTGCTGCAGGGCCCCGCCGCCGGGGCGCTGCCCGGGCAGGCGCGTGTGCAGCCTGCGCTCCGCGCGTCTCTGGCAAAGAGCCACCAGCACAGCCAGAGCTGAGGGGCGTCCACGTGAGGGTTGTCTGCGGGAGCGAGTGAGGCCGCAGCGTTACTCGGGATGAACCTTCCTGGCAGCGGCGTTCCTTCCAGATAGCGTCTGACTCGATTAAGGTTGCAGATAATTTGTTAAAACACTACATACGCTGTGACTGGGTATGTTAAACTGCCTACACGTAGGTACTTGGAACACCCCAAGAAAGGTTCCCACCAGACGGTGACAGCAGACAGTAATCACTGACATGCGTAGTACTTGATCCCTAACTGTGACTATGGGCGAGCAGGGACTTAGTGTCTTTACTGACTGAACAAGCAACGCAGCATTTGCAGAAGAAATGACACAGTGGTGCAGCCACCCAGTGACAAAGACAGCGGCTTCTGGAAGCTATGCTGCGAACTCCAGCGTCTGACCCCCACCACACGAAGCAGCTGGATCCCGCGCCCAGCTCTTCCTCAGAAGGTGCTGGTGGACGTTGTCAGGCGCCTTCCGATGTAGATCCTTAACAGAAAAGGGCAGGGCGTTACTGCGGTCTGGCGGCTCGGGCGCGTGTGCACAGCCGGGACGGGGCAGCAGCCTGGGTCTCGCTTGTTGATGGCAGGAAGGGGACTGATTCGTACCTGTCAAAACTTTTGTGATGAATCCATATGCAGGCCCTCATCAGTGTGTATTTAGTAACATAATTTAGGAAATCCCAGCTGTGCGCTAACTGGGGTGCAAGGAGTGCCGGGACGCCAGCACTGAGGAGCCGCTAACCAAGCTGCGAAGCCTCTGCTCCCTGTGCTGCTCCCTCAACTGATCACGCTGCCCGAGAAAGTCACCCCGGGGCGGGTTTATCAGCACCAGCCTCACAAAGACCACAGCTGAATGGTGAAGCCCCTGCCCTGCTGCCCCCCAGGAGCCCACATGGGGCTCGGGCGTCCCTCAGGGTGGGCGAGCGGGAGACGGCAGGGGGGTTCCTCAGAGGAACGCAGGACAGTGGACTTTATCCTGACGGGGGTGAGGCAGGAAGGGCAGAGACTGGGTGGGAGCTGGCTGCAGAAATCCACGCTGAAATGAAGGGCTATAAACCAGGCAGGCCCACGACACCCGACTGCCAGCTCTGCAGAAAGCTCCAGAAGTCAGCACCTCCACCTCCAGGGGTGAGGCCAGCAGAGTCTGACTCTGCAAGGGCTGAGCAGAACCGACTCGGCGGGCCGTGCCCCGAGAGGGAGATGGGACCCAGCGGGCGAGGGGCCAGGCTTCAGGATGGGGCGTCACCTGAGACCCACACGCCTCCTTCTGCCCCTAGACTGAGCAGATGTCTCCTGTGCCACGTTCACGGAGCCTGGGGAGGTGACCGTGCGGGGACGCCAGCCCCAACCAGTGGCACCAGCCTAAGTCGGAAACCCGTCCTGACGATCTCGCTGCCCGCCCAGTGGATGGGCTGCACCACAGAAGCCCACCCAGAGCGGGACCAGGGGCGCAGCCTCCCCCCGGGCGCCGGCCCCCAGCTGCACCTGTGTGTTCCGCACGGTTTCTCCTGCTGCTGAGTGAGCTCAGCCAAGGAGCTGCGGCAAGTGCCTGGGACCAGCCTCCTGCAGCCGAAAGGTGTGGTTCCCACCCACACCTGCACACAAGCGTCCAGGCGCAGCAGCCAGACAGGCCCCCGGGTCAAGAGACGGAAAACCAGTCTCCGCCAGCAGACGGCGTCCAGGCCCCGGGGTGTGTCTCCGAGACCCAGCTGGGCCCCAGGTGCGCTGGCCGGCCGGGGGTCACTCACCCCAACCCGATGGCCAGCAGGTGGGACAGCAGGAGAGACGGAAGAAAGACTTTAAGAAACTCGGCAGAGAAGATGCCCCCTTTCTTCATGACGCTCGTGTTCCTCATGCTGAGTGTGGCCGAGCGCTTCGGGTGCTTGAAGAGGAACTCCCTGCGGGCGGAGAGACGTTTGTCAGTGGGGGGTCCACGCCCTGGAGGCCCCGCCCCAGAGGAACAAACTCACTTGGGGGGGATGTTTTCTGGCCGACTTGACCAGTCCCAAATCCAGTCTGAGTTCTTCTTCAGGATGCTTTCGACTTCTCTCCTCCTCTCCATGTAATCCTCCTCAGACTGCGGCGCAGTGAATGGTGAGAGCAGGTTACCCTGTGGCATCCACACCAGAAAGTGCCTTCCCGCCCGGGCAGCAAGCTGAGCTCGGAGCTGGCCAGGTGGGGAGGGGGCTCAGCTCCCCAGCTTCCTGCCTCTACTCCACGCACACCCCCAGGGAGAGAGTCCCCACTCGGACTCTGGGAGTCCCAGGAGCTGCGGTCACTGCCCCCAGGAAGCAGCGCCGAGTAATTACAACACAGATGTCCAGAGATGCCAGCCACAGTGCCAGGCAGAACCATGTAAAATGGGGCCCAAAACGGGATGTGGCTAAGTAAACAGAAGACTGCATCGCCAGCAGTTTGAAGGGGAAAAGAACCAAAACCTTATGTCAGCCTGTGATTAAACCTGTTACAGACTCACTACAGGAACTGGAGAACTTGAACACTGGATCACGGGTGGTGGTCTCCCGCTCTGCCTTCTAAAGGTTCTGTACCTGGTCATCTAACTCTTCTCTAAAATCGAGGGAAAACCTGTTTGAAATGTTGGAAATACTCTAGACCGTGGACCAAAACCAGCCTAACGCTGGGTGCACGAAAGCTGGACGTGGACCCTGGACATCTGGGTGCAGGCCAGCCACTCCGGGGCCTTCCCGTCGGGGGCCCCTGGGGTTCTGGAAGCGCTCCCTGGGAAAGCCTGAGCACCAAGCCTCCAGGTCACGTCAGGCTCTCCCGTGCACTGCCCACTGACAGGCCCGCCGCCCCGCTCCCAGCTTCCCCCCACCCCTGCTCCAGCCTGCCCTCCCTGTGTCCCTGGGGGGCGGGAGGCAGGAGGCCCGGCTACATGTCCTAAACCAACCCGAGCTGGTGCCACCTCGGAGTCCCCTCAGTGCTGGGGGTGCCCCACCCCCTACTCTACAAAAAGGTAGCAATCTCCACACTTGGACTCGATCACACTGAAAACTTCGTACAAACAGATCACAAACGTGACACCTGCACATCTTACCTGAGAGCTGTTTTTTTCTCCAAGACTGTGCGTGTCTGTTTCAGAGGCTCTGTTAATATCTTGTGGAGTCTGTGAGCGAGGTGGACTTGGGAATGAGTAAGAACAGAAAAAGAACATGTTAACCTTCTCTCCATCATGAGAAGCCACCCACCACCCTGGCAGGGAGCGTCTCTGCGGTGAGACGAGCTCTCCCCTTCTGCCAGGGCTGGGCCGCACTGCCGCCCCAGCAGCCCCGTCTCTCAGCTGAGACAAGGCAGAAGCGGGCGGGCCAGGGCAGTTCCTCCCACCAGAGGGCAAAGGGCCCGCTGTGTAAGGGGGGCTGGTAACCCACTTGGGACCGTGGCCCGACCTGAGGTTGGCAGGCAGGCATTTCCAGCAGGGGCTGACCGCCCCCCCGTGTGTGGCCGTCAGCCCGCGTAGTCCACACCCACCTGTCACAGTGAGAGCTCTTGGAGCTGCTCCGTCCAGACTCATGCTGCGCGTCCAGCAGTATTTTTTCCATGTCGCCGTTATAAATAGAAACAGAGTCTGGAACGCTGCTCCCGTTCCCGTTCCCACCGAAGTGTAATTCCACCCAGGAGCCTGATGGCGACAAAAACAGCACAGAGCTGCAGCTTCCTACCCTCGCTGGAGTCTGGTCCTCACAAGAGCCATCTCCGGGGATCATGCCCTAGCAGCCTTCAGGCCCACCTGTGGTGCCTGCTGCCCGGGAGCCTCGCCCGGACGTGGACCAGGGCGAGCCTGCGGGAGCCTGCGGCTCCTAGATTCCGGCAAGATGCTCGGTCAGGAGGCCGAGTGGCCAGGGTGCCCTGCACTCAACTTTGACAAGAAAAAGGGCCTCGGCAAAGGGATTTAAAAATGAAAGAAAGGTTTCAACTCTCTTATCAACCTGTTTCCACATTCCAGCATCACATCCTGACCCTGAGGCCCCACAGAATTCAATTAAGACTCCCTCTCTGTACGTATTTACATCAGGAGCCAGATGAATGTACTCAGAACACAACAAAGGTGACTTCTGACTAAGTGCGATTAACCAGAGCAAACCATCCCTCAGGTGTTCCCCTGACCGAGGCTTCACCGCAAGTAACCCCAGACCTCAGCTCTCCTCCTCGAGCTGAAAACTGGCAGTTTCATCTCCGAGACAGACAGACTCCGCACAGACATCGTAACTCCCGACAACGGTCTCAGCTCCACAGGCATCCGCTTCCCCAAACACAGCCAGCGCCCAGAACCCTACAAGCCAGCATTTTAGGCCGAGCTTTGCTCTTGCCAGCCCCACCACTTGGACCCGACAAACTCACCAAGTCAACAACAGCTGCCTGGGCGGGCTCTCCGCCCGGGGCTCTGGGAGCAGGAGTGACGGCGGGGCCCCCCATCCAGGGGACACCTGAGGGCGGGTGCCCGGCAGAGTGCGCGGCAGTGTAGGGCCAGAGCTGGGGCAGCGCTGGGCACCTGCCAGCGGGGGAGGGGGCGCTGCTGCTTTTGCCTTTTGTCTGTTTTGGGGGCTGATAGGTCCCCCCAAAAGAGCTGGAAGATGAGAAGGATGTTGGCAGGTTCCTCCACTGTGATCTTTTACCAGACAGAGGCACTGGAGGGACAGAGGGACAGATGTGAACCCTAACAGAGGTCCTGAAGTGCTGAAGATAGAAGGCTCTGTAAGGCTGGGGCAGAGCACCCACAGGCGTGGGGGCAGTGGAGGCCAGGCGGGCGCCCAGGAGCAACTCCTGGGGGGTTGGACTGGAGGGGCCACCATCCTTGTGGCCTGACACCAGTGCATCCTGCTGCCGCTGTACAGACTCCACTGGGTGGCTCTGCCGGGTTCTACCACTCAGGTGTGTGATACCACTCCGATCAGGCTGCTGTGACTGTATAAACACCTGCAGCATCTCATGGTGTCCGTGTGCTCTCACTTCTGAGCACACCCCTAGGAGTGGGGTTCCCGGGTGAAGAAGTCCCAGGTGTACTTCCAGTGTCATTAAAACATCACTGCTTTCCGACGCGGCAGGACCAGGGAGTTTCTGTTGCCTCCCGCTTGGTTTCAGCCTTTAAATTTAGCCCGCCTGTGGGGTGTGGTGGCAGCTTACACAGTTTACTCCGCGTTTCTCATTACTGATGAGGCTGAACGTTTTTCCACACGCTTCCTGGCCATCTGGAGAGCTTCCTTTCTGAATCTGCTCCTTTTCTGTTGAGCAGTCCATCTTCTCCACAGAGCCCAACATTCAAGACACAAGCCTTTCTTCATCTGAGTATGTTGCAGGTAACTTCACTGGGGACTGCCTTTCCACTCGGTGTTTTCTGGGAACCCAGAAGGTCTTGATTTTAATTCAAATTCTCCAGCTCTTCCTTACCAGACACCATGAGGACACCCTGCTGTACTGTTTCACTCATTCAGACGCAGGTTTAGTGAACTGAATTTATTTAATCTGCACGTGTGATCTGAACCAGGGCAGGTCACCCCCTGCTAGGCATCGCTCTTTGGCAAGGCTGCCTCTGCTCCCCACTCTGCCCTATCCTGGCGGACATCGAGCTGGCCACAAGCACAGGTCTCTCTCTGGGCCCAGGACAGTTTTGCTACTTTGTGTCAGAGGTCCACACCTCTCCAGTGCACCTGTCTGGTAAAAGATCACGGGGGTGGAACCTGGAGGGCAGCCGCAGACAGGGGCCCAGAGGCAGACCACACGCAGCCGACTAGAAACGCAGGCCCGAG